TATCCTTCCCAGGGCTGCCTCCCACAGTCCATCTCCTCATACTCCCCAGGGCTGCCTCCCACTCCCAGTTCTTCCGGAAAAAGGGAAGCAAAGAAACACTAATTGTCCCTCATAAAGCTAGGACAGCCCCTGTTCTGCCTTGTCCCTGTTCTGGCTTCTAGCTCAAGGCCTTTTCTCCATGCAGAGGGTTTCCATTCTCCTTCTCAGTTCTGACTCCCAGGAAATACGGCTGAGTGTCCTGACTCAATTCACAGAATCCGCACTCCAACCGGCCAGCACTGCCTCAGAGACTTCTGTGAGATGCTTGCCATGAGGGAGCTCTGTGTCTGGAGGTCCCCTCCCACACTGGTGCTTCCATGGTCTTCCCCCAGCACGTCCTTCTTACTCCCTTCAATGGAAGAGCCACAGAATGACTTTTTAAGCCACATCTCCAACTAGGCTCTCATCCCTCGCCCTTAGCTCCCTGGCTCCAGCAGACTTATCCATATCCAGGGTGTAAGCACCATCCTCATCTCCCGGATTTCCAGATTCCCCTCTGGAATGTGCTTCTCTCTAAATTCAGGACAACCTGCCAATCAGTTCTCCAGGCAGGACCCTTGGACAGCTCAGACTCGACTTGGCGAAAACCGGAAATTTTATCTTCTTCCTCAAATCCTCTACCCTTTGCTCCTCTCTCTCCCAGGCAAAGGAGCCTTCAGAAGCCCTGAAGTCCGGCTAGTGAAGGTGGACATGGTGTCCAGTTTTCTTCCTGCCCCACCTGCAAGCCCCAAGTTCTTCAGCCCTCAATCTTGGGATTTCAGTAATCAGAGTGTTCTTCATTTGTTATTGTCTTTCATTCTGTTTACTGACTGTTTGCACACCTTATTTGAGACAATGCCTCACTATGTAGACCTAGATGGCCTGGAATCTAATATACAGCTCAGACTGGCCTCCAACTCATGGATTCTCCTACTTTAACTTCCCCAGTGCTGAGGTTCCAGGCATGTGCCAGCATGCCTGGTAGTGGTGGCAGTGGTGGCAGCTCCTCTTCTTCCTCCTCCTCCCCTTTCATATCCTATTCTTCGTTTTCTTGAGTCTCACTATTTATCCCAAGTTATCTGTCTAACTCAGAATTGCAGAGATTTTTTTTTCAACCCCTGCTCTTTCCTTCCTCTGACTTCAGAGTTCTTCGATTAAAGGTGTTATGTTACCTTGCCATCTTGTTCCTCGTTATTATTTATGCATTTATTATTTATTGTTTTTTCGAGATGGGGTTTCCTGTAGCTTTGGAGCCTGTCCTGGGACTAGCTTTTGTAGACCAGGCTGGCCTTGAACTCACAGAGATCT